CATGCGTAGAGGGAATGGAGGGGTCAGAATGATAAAAGGCGAGTAAAATGTTATATAAGTTAGATTGAAGTAAGAGAAGACAGCTTCAGATGGCACAGGATTGAAGGTTTGGTTTTTAAAAAATCTTATTTTATTGAGGTATAAATTACATATAGTAACGTGCACAAGTCCTAAGTGTAGAGCTGGATGACTTTTCACTTATGTATACACCTATGTGATCACCACGCATGATGCTAGAACTTTCCACCATCTCAGAAGATTGCCTCATATCCACTTCCACCATTGACTGCCCTCCAACCCAGAAGTAACTATTTTTCTGACCTCTATCACCGCATATTATTTTGCAAACTGCATACAACCACTTTGGAGCACTGTTTACCAGTTTAAATATATATCTATCTTCTGATTCAGTTATTTATATATATAATTCCAATTATATATCGAAGAGAAATGAGTTTATTTTTTTAGAAAAAGCTTACCCAAGAATGGCCACAACAGCTTTATTCATAATAAGCCCAAACTGGAAACAATCCAAATAGCATTAGCAAGAAAATAAACATATTGTGTTATAACCACACAAGAAATACTACTCAGCAATAAAAAAGAATGAAGTATTGATAGATGTTACAACATGGATGAATCTCAGAAACATCATGCTGAGTGAAAGAAGCCACACACAAAGGAGCACATTCTGTATGATTCCAATTGTATGAAGTTCAAGATTGTAGATTTTAATGAAAGACTTTTATGATAATTTGATTTTACATGCCTAAGATGCTTGGAGAAAGTTCTTCCCCTTTCAGAAAAGGACCTGTATGAAACACAAGATGGCAAAGAGGGGGACAGAAAACTAAACTAACACCAGCAGTTCGTCTTTGCTTAAGTGAGAAATGTTTATTTAGCATTCCTTGTTTCTGCAATGAGTAATGGAATTATGTGATGTCTCATTATTTCCTTTCCTTTTGTTTGCTTCATGATTCTAATTCTTAAGAGGGCTTTCTGGGAATAATGGTAGCTACATGCCACTTACAAAAGACAGAAAGGCACTGCATTGAGTCTGTTCATACAAAATCAGACTTAGAATGATTTTAAGATCCTTTTCCTCAAAATAAAACTTCTGAATAAATTACAAGCAATATTGGAAAGCAGCTAATTTGTTATTTCCTGCTCCAAACTTCTGATACTACCATTTTCATCACTACTGTTTGCCACTCTATTCCCCTTATCATTTTTATCCATTTCCCTAGTGATGAAAGCATAAAATCACAGTAGGTAGACAAAACTACAGAGATAAAGAACAGATTAGTGGTCACCAGGGGACAGGTGTGGGTAAGGAGGGTACAAATAAAGGGAAGCACGTGAGAGTTCCTTTGGACAGTTGTGTATTTTGATGGTGGTGGTGGTTGCCTGAGTCTGGCCATGGGATAAAATTGCATAGAACTACACACACAACAAATGCATGCAAAAAATGGTGAAACCTGAACAAAGTCTCTAATTGACTTAATAGCACTGTACCAATGTCAATTTCTTGGTTTTTGATATTTTACTACAGTTATGTAAGATGTCGTCATTGGGGGAAGCTGAGGGAAGCATTCACAGATCTCTGTGTAGTATTTTCACAGCTTCCTGTGAGCCTGTAATTATTTCAAAATAATAAATTTCAAAAATATAATAGGCAACGACAACCAAGTCTCAGCCTTGTTTTTTTTTTTTTTTTTAAGAAATAGGTAGTGTTCATGGGGCAAGCAACCCATAATAATTATCTTTCTCATAAAGGTAATGTATATGGATTTTTCTGAAAATTGAGCCAAAACATGCAGTTCCTACCTGTGATTTAGATGTTTGGCAGTTATTAGAATGAAATATAGTTAATGAGAGTGCCCTGCAAAAGGAACACCCTAACTTTTGTAAAGGTATGTAAGTACATCTGATAGATCTGCCAGCTGGCAGCACTTTGTATAAGTTCTACCTTTATCTGTTTGTGCTGTCTGTGTCTGGCTCCACCAATGTATTTGCCCATGAACTTGCTTCAGACAATTTGTAGAAGTCTTCCATTTAGCATCATTGTTATCTTTGAAAAATTCACTTATTACATGTAAATCACAGATAAACAAAGATAAGAAATAAAAGAAATAAAGATAAGTAGAAACTAAAATAAAATAAAGATAAGAAGTAGAAAAAAATTGTCTATATCCTACGCTGTTTATATTTGGTATATATAATTTCCAGTCTATTTATCTCTGTGCACATAAATGCTTTTTAAAAAAATATGAAATCATAATTTCTGTAAACTTGTTTTACTTATCGATGTGTGCACAAGAATGCAACATTTCACCAGGTCATTAAATACTTTGCCACTGTGTGATTTAATAACTGCATAGGATTGCACCCTGTGGATGTACAACAGCTTAACCAATCTCCTATAATTGGACATTTAGGCTGTTTTCAGTTTTCCACCATTAGAAACAATGTCGTGATCAACATCCTTAAGGCTAAATCTTCATGCACAGTCATGATTATTTCCCTTAGGATAAACTCTCAGAAGTGGCATTGCTGGTAGGCAAAATGTTAAAGCTTTTGATTTATATTGCCAAAGATAAGAATCATTTTAAAAAATATGTTGTAAACAAAAACCTTATTTGAACAAGATGCTTTACCTGAAGGGAAATTTAGGATCAGTTTCTTTAGAGTGATTCATCCCATTACCAAATAGATGTATTACTTTGACAGAATTAAAAGAAAAAATTGAAAATATCTAAATAAACAAGTTGCGCAGGAATTTTTTGCTATTTTTATTTTTGTTAAACAATGAAAGCAAAGTAATTTACTGGAGTGAAAAGATAAATAGAATGAACACACCACTAGTAGGGAATGGGGTATTTACATTTCTCCCTTTCCCCACTTGATATTGGTTAAAATATATTTTTGGTTTTTTATTTTTTAAGCATTATGACTGTGCACATCTACCACCGTCTTTACACACAATGAAGGAGTAGAGGTAAAATTTTTTAAATGGGGCAAGTGTACTATAGTAGTCGTAATGTTGCAGAATTCTGTTGCATCTTTCTAGTTGTGAATGTCCTGTCTGTGGGTGTGAGAGGGCCTGGGTCTGGGTTAAGGATCACCCTTGATTAGGCATCTCTAGTACTCTGCTGGAACACATCAATTGTACCTTTTCCGCATTTCCAATTCAGTAAATGTGTCCGCTTGTTTGATTTGGTAACCATCAAAACACGGTCTAATCTTTCTCATTGAGAAGCTGAATCCTTAACAACAGATTTTCTATAGTTTATGAAGTGAGGCTCCATCTTGCACTGCCACCTTCAAATAATTATGACCATTGTTTCTAGCCTCAACTCCTTTCTAGGACTTTTCATTGGTCCCTTCTTAATAGAGAGGTGCTGGGTTGACACTGAAGGAACAGCTTTTATTTAAAAGGTCTGTACTTTAAAAAAAAGTCTGACCTTTTAGGTAGAATGTATTATCTGCAGTTTTTTATTATGTTCCAATAACAATTAATGAGTGGATCCTAGTAAACAAGATATTTGATTCCTGGATTGAGTTTCCACACTGGGAAGCGGTTAAATGTTTAGATGCTGGAAAAGCAACAACAAATCCATGTGTCTGATATTCTTTTTCTTCTTCTTAGTCATAAGCACACCATTTTATACCATTCCTAGGTGATGAAATTTTGTTTGAATATAATTTGTGAGATCAGGGTTACAAAGACCCTTTCCCTTTCAATTCTGTATTCGTATTTTCTATGATTATTTGTATTTTATCAATGTCATTGACGTTTCCCTCAAAGAGAAATTCCTCATGCTGGAATTGATCGTAAATACTTGTTATTAGGTGAGAGATTGGTCTTTTACAAAATTATTTTCTTCTGCTGCTGTCTTTTGGCTAATTATGGGACTTTTCATTCCTGCTGTCATGTAATTCTTTCTAAGTTGACAACAGCCCTGCAAAGAAACTTGCAGGGCATTCCAGGTGTTAAGAGTTCCTCTAACCTAGAGTGAATTTTGTAGCACTGGGAAGGGCGTATTTTTACCTGGTCTGAATTAAGAAGGTATTTCTATGTCGTAGTATAAATTTGGTTGAATGTTAAAGAAATACTATTCTGGGAAGAAATAGAACCATAATTTAAAAACAAATTTTTCCCCCAAAGGGACTACCTGCTTTGAGATTATCTACTCTGAGTTGTACCCTGTACTTTTATTTCCCTGTAAACTCATTATATGAATCTGTTACCTGCTCCCACCTCTCCATCTGAATTTTCTCTACTAACTGAGAAGAGCTGTTTTTCTGGGAAACAAATTAGGCTTCACATGAAAGGGCATTTACCATGGGTTTGAATGACCAAAAATTGTATAGTTTTCTAAAGATTTCATATATATGTATATATATCTCCTTATAAATATATAAAGATTTCTTATATGTGTTAAATTATATAATATGTATGTTACATTTTTTTTTTAAAAAACCAAATATGAACTTCTTGAAATGTAATTGAATGGAAATCTGGTTTAAATCTAACCACTAAAGAATAATTTACTTAGCTGTGTTTTTTACAAAAAAAAAATCCAGGTAGTATTTTTTCTTCACATTAGTATTTCATGTGCCTGTTGAGAAATTTTTATAAGTGACAAAGAGGTCTTTGCCTTTCATGATATTAAGGGTATTCATGTAATATTTAAATTTATATATTTATTGCTATTCTCTACTTAAACTCAGCATATGAAAATCTGTATTTTAAAATAGAAGATGATTGCTGAAGAGTTAGTCTGGTGGATTTTAAATATGAATTATTCACAAAATATGAATTATCCTTAGTTTCACATACCACTTTGATACATAAGGAGCAGCTGTGTACTGTATGTTAAAATATTCTTAATTTATGCTTTATTAGACATACATGATTAAAATGCTAGTGTATTAAAAATCATTGCTCTTTGTTTCTGCAAACTTACCAGAGTTCCTACTTTCTTTTTCTCTAACAGATATAAGCTTACCAAAGTCGGCAACAATATGCTACACAGCTGCCTTGCTCAAAGCAAGAGCTGTCTCTGACAAGTAAGTGAATAATAACTTGTGTGGTACTAAATGCCTGACCCAACTAAAGAGATGTGTTGTCTCTGAGGGCTTTCTCTGGAAGTTTCTCTTAGTCTGTGAGACCCTTGCTTATGAGCATGCATTTTCCAAAACCTGCTGATCTTTTCTTTCACTACTAGAAGGAGGGAATGTGTATCCCCAGGTATTGTAAGGGTGTATGGGTCCCTAAAGAGGGATTTATGTGAAATTCCATACCTCTGAGGTGAATTTTTTTTTTTTTTTTTTTTTGCCAGACAGTAGATACTAAAAGGCCTGCTTGGGACTTACACAAAATGCCTTCCTTTTATTCATTTTTTTTGCAAATTCCTCTTCCTTCAGCAGTCCAAGACTGGGTAGAGTTGTAACAAATGTAATATGGCAGAGGGGATGGTCATCTCCCATTCTTTGCCTCATCAATTCCAAACTAACTCCCCACCCAGGGTCCATTTAGTCTGAATCGCTTTCTCAGTGGGACATTTTCCCATTTTATTCAGGCAGGTGACTATGGCATAGAGAATTTCCATAAACATCCAAGATGACTGGCAGGTGAAAGGCAATAGATGGCTTAACTGTTTTTGAGTTCATAAACGTCTACACTTCCCTGATACAATTCCTCTGTAGCATTGAAAAGCAGATAACAGGAAAAGAAAACAGCCTCTGCTATGTCAGACAGGATTGCTGTTAAGTGTGTGTGCACTTCAAGACCGAAGTAATTTTCTTTCATTCTTTTTTATCCTGTAGATCGCCAGTACCTACTGCAACATCTTTTCTCCCTACACAGCGACTCCAGCTTGGGAGGGCAGGGCCAGGGTTGTCACAGCTTCCCCTGTGGTGTCTGCCTGCCAAGCACAGCTCTGGAGTTAGCCCTGGGTGTGAGGTGAGAAAGAGATTGCATGGTCTGGTTTTTTTCATTCACTTGGGCAGGTGTCTCGCCCGCAGTTTGGGCGTGTACACCCCCCCTGCCGGAACGGCCCCAAGCAGGCTCGCCTGCTGCTGAAGCTGCAACGACTTAACCCTCCATCGCAGCACTGACATTGGGTTGGGAGCCTCCTTTAAAATTCTCCCCAGTTCTGTTTTTAACCAAGTGCGCTCTTCTGTAACCTAGTTTTCTCTTTTTCCTACACTCTCTACCCTCGTCAGTCCTACCTCCTCCCCTGACCTAAGCAGGTACCTCATAGAAAATTTAGATTAGCTATTTAGACAGAGAGATTTGACAGCTGAATTTAATTCCTGCCGCGATTAGATGCAAGCACGCTTTCTGCTTCTGCTGGGGTTTTTGTTGGCCTCGTACTGAGGGGTCACTCAGAGGTTCGGTGTAGTGGAGGTTTGGAGAGCTCATGCCATTGACTCACTGTGGTTTTATGGGCCCTTGATGTGTAGATGCCTTTCTAGGTTGATGCCCAAGCAGTGGTCCCAACTGGATGTTGTTTGTCTTTCTGCTTTTCAGATTCTCTCCCGAGGCTGCATCTCGGCGTGGACTGAGCACAGCAGAGATGAATGCGGTAGAGGCCATTCATAGAGCTGTGGAATTCAATCCTCACGTGCCAAAAGTGAGTCTGTGGAATCCCCACAGGAGCTCATTATGATAGCAGAGAAAGTGTTCGGTGACCACAGTGTCATTCTTGAATACACCCAGTTATAAAAAAATGAATTGCAACCAATGAATGCTGAGGCCCTCTGTAGTCTATGGTTATTAGTCCATTTTTAAGCAAAAACTACATTCAAGAGGCTTTGGGGCTGATTTTCAGGCTTCATGTAATAAGGGTAAATGGATAGATCTAGCTTAGGCAGGCCAAGTCAGGGTGTCTGAAATTGACAAAATATGGAGATCCCAACGGTGTTGATGCATTTGATAGGAATTTCACACCAGTTACAGTCTTACTTAGCCCCAACTTGGGAAATGAACCTTGTGAATAAAAGTGGTAAAGAATACTGACAAATGTGACATTTTATGTCTCTAAATAAATGATAGCCATCAGTACTGTATTGGCAAGAAAATAATAGGGAAAACCTCAGAGTATGAAGTATTTTCCTTTTGACTTGTGAGTGCTATTTTAGTCAGTATACGTAGTAGGAAATATTTGTCTTGAGTGTTAACCACATGATTTACCAATTTATAAATATATATATTTTTTCTGAATTTGATTTTAAGAGAGTCAAATCATGGTAGAGGATATTTCTATAGTCTTTTATTCAGGAGATGGATGTGTATTTATGATTTACCTGTGTTTGTGTACCTGCTATTTGATAGGCATGTCACTCAGGGCCATTTTCAGCTTCTGGATATTATAAAGCACATTTTGACCTCTAGAAACCTATTCCTGCAGTTCACATCAGGTACTACAAGGCATAATTTTCTTGGCAAATGTCTGATGAAGACTTTCATTGGTGAAAAATGACAAGGGAAGGCTGTTTTCTTGTTTTGTTGCAGTACTGTAACCAAAGGGTAAGGTGGAGTGTGTGTGTGTGTGTGTGTGTGTGTGTGTGTTGATTTATGGAGTTACCTACTTTAATTTATTTTGTTGCTATCCATAGTGACAGAGATAAGTGACCTAATATCATTCCTGAGGTTTTACTCAGGTCGTGATCATTTTTTCACAAAACCGGAAATTGGAGAGTGGTGCACTGTGCCACAGTTGCAGAAGGATGCCTTTATCCACTCTAGTTCTAGTGGATAATGACCAGCATCGTATTTGTAAACTTAGGTATTATATATAGGGTGGCATAAGATGTATCTTTTCATTTAATATTTTTTCAGCTAAGTTAAAAATGTTCATTCAAATTTGATTAAAATTTAAAACCAATCATGAAAATATTGTCCTGAATTACAGTAAACTTAAGTCATCAATTAATATTTATTGAATGCCATTCTCTAACTACAGAGCTATTCTATGAGCATAAATGAGGCTCTTTTAGAAGTAGTATTGGACAATAGAGTCCTAGATTCTGAGACAAAAACTTCGGTTTAAATCATTTATTAGCCTTGGGACTTGGGCTTAGCATTTCTGAACTCAAAGTTAAAATGTAAGCCTTACTTATCTTCTGTGATAAAGATCACGTGAGATAATATATCCAAAGTTCTTTGAAAATACTTGAGCACCATATGTTTGTAACTTATTAAAACTATTGATATTTGACTTCTTGGTGGTCCCTCAAGTCTGGCAACTGGGTCTTAACTTTTCCAGTTATACCAACCAGAGCCTTGTAATTCTGGGGCACAAGATAGACAACTGGTACAGTACTCGCTGGTTAGATACTTTAATTGAAGCTGCCATTTAATAGTATGGTAATAGCCTTAAACGGTTGATTGAGCCTCTAGAAGAGTGTTAAAAACTCGAGGAAATAGTTTAACACTACCATGGAAGAATTTGACTCAGTTAACTAGCACTCTGCCTGCAAAATAGAATTCTTCTAAAAGTGGAAACATTTCAGATACTTGATTTCACTCTAACTTTCTAACCATTAAATGAAGAAAAGATAGGGAACGTAGGTAAACTGATTCTCCACCACTTTGCTTTGTTGATGATTGTGCCAAGAGGGAAACTTGTTTCCAGATCGTCTTCATCTATTGACATTTCTGTGGGGAAAAGGCCCTGTGAGGCACTGGGTCATATGTTCAGAATTAACCACAAACCTCTGGTATATGTGTACTAAATGCAGGCTGCTATAAACATCTTTTTTACGTGTTCTGCTGTTTATTGTAATGCCTGCTGGTGCTTTAGTAAACACATACACGCACACACACACACACACATGCACACACACATTGGTGCCTTTTCAGGCAAAGGATAGCCTTAATTCTAATGAAACGTCAATGAAGGATGTAAACTCTTAGACTCTTGGTGTAAGGGGCATCAAAAGTCATCTAGGACACCCTCCCCTCCTCAGCTTGAATCTCTCCTCATAATGATAATATGATAATTATTTTTATTGTTGGTTTCTGTTGAGTGTTTACTATGCCCCAGGCACAATGCTAACTGAACTACATATGCCATCTCATTTGTTTTTCGTAAGAACGCTGAAAGGTGTGTCATACGATTATTCCTGCTACAGAGATGAGGACACTGTAGTTTGGAGAGGTTAAGTAACCTGCTCACCGTCACACAGCAAGTACATGACAGAGCCTGAACTGATTCTAGGTTCTCTAACTCTTAAACGTCACCCTCTACTGCCCCCAATCCCACCAGCTGGCAGACCAGCCTAGGCTTGAACCCTTCAATGATGGCAGGCACGTCGCTTCCCAAGGCACTCAATTCCTTGTGGACAATTCAGATTTCTTCAAGATATTGTTGTATCTTAAACACTTCCATGGCCTTTTTTCTTTATAACAGGAAGTTGTCAGTGACCCATCACAGGAATTTTCAGTATCTACGTGCTGTTTTATCCAATTATAGTCTGCCCAAAGGAGAAAAAATACCACATATGATAGCTGAGAACTGCTTTCCATAAATTTCCAGCTTAGTTCCATCTGGCATCCCATTAAGCAAAAATACGTAGTTAATATTTCAACATCCAATGAAAGATATTATTTACTCATTACTCTTAGGAACACTCTTCACCTGCAAACACGAGGAGTAGGGAGTGTGTCTCTCTCCTAACCGCAAGGCAAGACTGGGAAGTAAATAAAAATAGTAAAAAGCCACGGGTCTCTATTCTGAATGAGAGCGTCTAAGTAGTCAGATTGTAAACATGAGGATTTCTGAAGCTTTAGATTGCAGCAGATTTTAAGGAGGAAGCAGCCCATAGACTCATCATTACAAATCAAATTGTGTTACTCCCCGCTGAGGAACTGCAGCTGTGTCCCCAGCCCTACAGGAGAAGGTATGAACTCCTTGGGTGGTTCTTCAGGACCCTTCGTAATCTGACCCAACTTGTTTTTCATTTTTTCCAGCTCCTTCTAACAGTCTGTTCATTGTTCCAGAACCATTCTTCTCCCCTTCCCTCTTTGCTTCCTCTGAGGAAATCCTACTCTTCTTTCACCCCTGCTATTAAAAATCAACGCCAAGAAGCCTGTGTCTTTCTCATCCCAGAATCAGTCTCTCCCCTCTGTGGTCTCTCACTACACTGCATTGATTATGCACTCCCTGTTTACCCCTATTTGAGGGCAACTAGGGATGTTAGGATCTTGATGATGCTGGTGATTTTCAAGAACTAGGTACTCAGTTCAAAAAGACAAAGAAACCTCTAAACCATTAGAGGATGTTTTCCATTTAATGGGATTAAAATAGGAGCTTTGAATTTAAAGGGAGTATTCTCCCTTTTTTAAAGCAACACTCATGTGTTGCTGGACAAATGAAGAACTATATGCTCATCTCGGTTCTATACTTTCATCTATGTTTTGTTATAGTTCATTGGATTTTTCGCTTTAGCTTTTAATTCTGCTCTCCCTGCAAACATGCTTCCCAACTCACTGCTCTTCCTTAGCAATGTCGAGGTTTACATGGAAGGGGGCACTTCTAGCAGTGCTTCATCACTCTACACAGATCTGAGTTTCCATTGGTGCCGTGTACTCTTAGTATACTGCATCTACACTGCAAAGCTTTCCCCAGAAAGAGGCGCAATTTTGGTTTGAAGGATGTTACATTAACTCCTTCAGGACGCTAAAGATAAATTTTCATTTTCTGACAAGTCTCCCAAAAAAGACAAAATTATTGGTTAGTTATAAGAAGTTTTAGATAGCTTTTTTTCCCTCTGTAATGGTATTCTAAAAATGATTTTTTAAAATATTAAAGTATAAGGAAATCATTGATAATCTCAGCATCCAGTCATATTTAAGACTATTGTCTTTTAGCCTTATCTATGCATTTTTAATACTTAAGGAATCATAGTCAAACAGCATATTCATATTTAAAAAAACTAACATGGGGCTCTTAACTTGGGCTTTATGGTTCGGTATTGGGGATATGTTTATTTTTTCTGGGGGAGGATCATCAGATTTTCATGGTTCCTTGAAGTTAAAAAGTCTATCTTCTAACTTAACATTAAATTTAGTCTAAGTCCTTGTACCTTAAAATACATGTGCCTTCAAACACTTTAAAATATTCTCAGTAACTGTTTTCTGAATGATTTGCTTCCTTATTTTTTGTTACAGACAACACGTATCATGAAGTCTACCTTAACACATTTTTAAGTATACAGTACAATATTGTTCACTGTGTGCACCTTGTTTACAGCAGATCTCTACAACCTTTTCATCTTGTGTGACTGAAATTCTGTATCCACTGAAGGGCAGTTCTCCATTTGTCCTTCCCCCTAGCCCCTGGTAACCACCATTCTACTTTCCGCTTCTGTGAGTCTGACTACTTTAGATACCTCATATAGCTGGACTCATGCTGTATTTGTCTTTCTGTGACTAGCTTATTTCACTTAGCGTAATGTCCTCTAGGTTCATCTGTGTTGTAGCATAGGACAGGATTTCCTTCTTTAAGGCTGAATAATATTCCATTGTGTGTGTATGTATATCCATTCATCCACTGATGGAAATTTAGGTTGTTTTTACCTCTTGGCTGTTGGGAATAATGCTGCAATAAACATGGGAGTGCAAATATCT